AGCCTTCTGGGGGCAGCCTGTGCTCCTGTCTCTCTGTGCCTACCCCACTGGTGGTCATCCCCTGGGACAGCCAGCCTCCCCTCTGCCATCTGAGCCTGGCAGGTCTTTATTCCTGGGCCCTGAGCGAAATAGGCACCTGTCCTATGGATGAACTTGAACTTAGCTCCTCTGCCCTGAACTATCCTTCACCCTGCGGGAAGGGGAGCACTAAGGAAGGACAGTGCAGGGGGCCGGGGGCAGCCGCAGACCCAGGCCAGGCACCTGGAGGGGCCCAGAGCAGAGCCTCTTGGCTGGAGTGCAGGCAGCCATGTTGGAAGTTGACCCTGTGGAGGATGGGAACTATAGAGGTTCTTGAGTAAGAGCAGGCCAAGTGTGGCAGCCACCGGGAGAAGGTTCAGTCCAGGCCCCAGTGAGAGGCCTCCCTTCCTCATGCTGTGAAAGCGTTTGTAGGGGCTGCCAAACAGGGTGGAGGTAGGTGGAGACAGCTGTGAGAAAACCCACCATGTAGCCATCGGGGCTTCTTCAGGGGTTCTTAACTGTGGGATTCTGAGTGCATGGAATTGTCTGCAGGTCCAGGGGGTCTTAGGCAGGGAGCGGGGGCTGGTGTGGGAGAGCACTCAGGTCCTCCAGCTGTATCCTCCCTGTCTGCAGGGTGCTGGATGGAGCCACAGTGCTCAGGAACTCATCTAAGCAAATCTTTGGGGCTGCCCCTGGGTCCAATGTAGCCCCTTCAGAGACAGTCTTGTGCAGGCCCCAACCTGCACAACTGTCCACAGCAGGCTTGTGGACCACAGCCCTGCAGCTAAGCCCTCTTTGAGTTTTATGTCTCCTGGCAGCTTCTTTTTTGTATCTCATCCCCAACCCCTGGGAGAGGAAGCAATGCTAAATTGTCAGTGCCCTCTGTCCCCATCTCTCTCCCCGACGATCCTCCATTCTCCAGCCTGTGCTGGGCAGGTCTGTCTGGATTTAGGGAGAAGCAGACCCACCTCCCATGCCACGGCTGGAAGGCAGAGGGTCTAGGCGGTCCCTCTTTGGATCTGGGGCTGGGCCTCACCTTACAAGGCGGGAGCCACTCTCAAGGGGTGCAGGCCAGGATCTGAGCCACAGAAATTGAGGACAGGAGGATTAAGGTTTCATCTGAGGAACAGCTTATTCCGGGCAGTCCCACATGTTCTTGCTTATCTCCAGATGTTCCAAATGAAAAAAAAAAAAAAACATTTCTCTGAAAAGGTGTCAGATGTTCAGTTCATGGAATAAACAGCCCAGAGATGTAAACATCACCTGAGGTCACCATGGGGCCCACAGCCCTGATGCTGGTGAGGGCGGTTGGAGAGAGACTGACGGGGGAGGCGGGGGGCAAAATCTGGGGGCCTCTTGGTTTGGGAAATACTCTTCCTGAGCCCCTAATGACAGAGTCCTTGGTTAGCTTTGAGGCTGGAATCTCCCCTAAGTCGGGGTGTATGACGGGGAAAAGCTTGGGGTACGTTTGTGGTGTGTGTGTGTGTGTGTGTGTGTGTGCATGCTCACACAAGTGTGTGGCCTGGGCCCTGTGGTGTGGGGCCTACTTGGGAAGTGGTCCTGGGGCCCAGGGGACTGCAGGGGGTACAGAGGTTGGGGGGGCAGTTGGCATTCTCCAGACTCACACACATCAACACCTCCCTGGACAGGGATGCAGATGTGGCCTTTGGGCTTCATTCCCATTCATGCCGGGCAGGGATCTGTTTTCAGGAGCGGGGGAAGCAGCGGGGGCCCAACCGCCTGCAGGGTTATTTGTCACAGTTTGGACCAGGCTGTTCCCTCGCTGGTGACAACACCCCTGAGCCCCATCCTGGGCTCATGATGCCCTTTCCTTCCCAGAACAGGAGGCTTCGCAATCCCACCCCTGCCTCTGCCCTCTGCTGCCCCAGGCCTCACATTCCGACGTCTGACAACACCACACTTTCCAGGAAGCCAACAGCAAAATAAGGGATGGGGGGGTCGGGGGAAGGGACAAGGGGCTCAGGGGGTGGGGAAGCAAGAAGGCAGCTATCCCCAGTCACCCTAGGAGTATGGGAGCAGGAAGAACCTCAGGGAGAGAAGAGCTCAGACATCTATCTCCTTCCCCAGCCCAGGTGTCCTGGGTCTGCTTGGCTGCTGAGGCCGGGAAGAGGCCTGCTAAAAAGGACGTGGGTTTGAGTCCTGACCCAGCAGTGAAACCTCCCAGGTTACCAGTGGTTCTCAACTAGGGGTGGCTCTGCCCCCATTGGGGGAGCGTCTGGACACATGTCAGGGCAATCGCGCCGGTCACAATGATGGGTGGGTACCCAGAGGTGGTAGGGCATTGGCTGGCAAAGCAGAGTTCCCTGCCCCACATAACAACAGCACCCCATGAGGCAACACCCATTCTTAACCTCTCAGTGACCAAGGTTCCTCATTTTTGTAAAATAGAAATAATCCCAATAGTACGTTTTTTTGGTTGGTGTTTTCCGGTTTTTTTCTGAGGCAAGGTCTCGCTCTGTTGCTCAAGCTGGAGTGCAATCTCCATTCACTGCAACCTCCACCTCCCTGGCTCAAGTGGCCCACCCACCTCAGCCTCCCGAGTAGCTGGGACTACAGGTGACGCCACCATGCCTGGCTAATCTTTGTATTTGTTGTAGAGACAGATTTCACCATGTTGCCCAGGCTGGTCTCGAACTCCTGAGCTTGAGCAATCCACCCGCCTCAGCCTCCCAAAATACTGGGATTACAGGTGTGAGCTACCATGCCCTGCCAGTTTTTTCATTTTTTAAATTTCATTATTATTATACTTTAAGCTCTGAGGTATGTGTGCAGAGCGTGCAGGTTTGTTCCATAGGTGTACACGTGCCATGGTGGTTTGCTGCACCCATCAACCCATCATCTACATTAGGTATTTCCCCTAATGCTACCCCTCCCCCAATGCCCCACCCCCTGACAGGCCCCAGTGTGTGATGTTCCCCTCCCTGTCTGTGTCCATGTGTTCTCATTGTTCAACTCCCACTTATGAGTGAGAACATGCGGTGTTTGGTTTTCTGTTCTTGTATTAGTTTGCTGAGAATGATGGTTTCCAGCTTCATCCATGTCCCTGCAAAAGACAGGAACTCATCCTTTTTTATGACTGCTAGAGTTTTTGATACACCGCTTTTGCTGTATCACAGAGGTTTTGATAAGTTGTGTTATTATCATTCATTTCAAAGAATTTTTTTTAACTTCCATCTTGATTTCACTGTTAACTCCCAAATCATTCAAGAACAGATTATTTCATTTCCATGTATTTGTTTACTTTTGAGGTTTCCTTTTGGAGTGGATTTCTAGTTTTATTCTGCTGTGGTTGAAGAAGACACTTGATATGATTTTGGTTTTCTGAAAGACACACTTAACACGCATGTTTATAGCGCACAATTCACAATTGCAAAGGCATGGAAGCAACCTAAGAGCCTATCAGCCTATGAGTGGATAAAGAAAATGCAGTGTATATACACCTCTTTATGGAATACTGCTCAGCCATAAAAAAAATAAATAAATAAATGAAATCACATCTTGGAGCAACCTGGATGGAGCTAGAGGCCATTATTCTAAGTAAAGTAACTCAGGAGTGGAAAACCAGATATCCTATGTTCTCACTTACAAGTGGGAGCTAATCTATGGGGATGCAAAGGCATGAGAATGATGTGATGGACTTTGGGAACTCAGTGGGGAACGTGGAAGGAGGGGGAGGGATAAACGACTACACACTGGGTACAGTGTACACTGCTCAGGTGACGGGTCCACCAAAATCTCAGAAATCACCACTGAAGAACTTATCCACGTAACAGAAAAACTACCTGTACCCCAAAGCGATTGAAAAAAAAATGTAAAACCAGTGAGAAGCTCCCACTCCAGGGAGGGAAGACAGCACCCTGGGGGCGCTCAGACAACTCTTGAGATGCTGAACACCTCCGCTCCCCAAAGCACGCACAGAGCTGCAAGCTGGGAAGGGGCTGCAGAGGCAATGGAAGGACATCTCGGGGGCAGCCTGAGAGCCCCTCCCCATCCCCCACGCCAATGCTACATAAACCTCAGGACCCAGAAAGAGAGGGTGTAGACATCCCGAAAAGAATTAACTGCTTACTCGTCTGGAGATTACAGTCCGGGGAGTCAGACGTTGTTACAGAAAAGAAATTTACAGGCTGGGTGCAGTGGCTCTTGCCTGTAATCCCAGCACCTCGGGAGACCAAGGCAGGAGGATCACCTGAGGCCAGGAGGCTGAGACAAGCCTGGGCAACCTAGCAAAACCCCATCTCTACAAAAAACTAGCCAGCTGTGGTGGTGTGCACCTGTAGTCTCAGCTACTCAGGAGGCTGAGGTGGGAGGATTGCTTGAACCCAGGAGTTTGAAGCTACAGTGAGCCATGGTTGTACAACTGCACTCCAGTTTGGGTGACAGAATGAAACCCTATCTCAAAAAAAAAAGAAAAAAAGAAAGAAAAACAAATTACATACAAGATTACATTTCACTCTCTGGGGCTGTGGGCTAAGCCTGCTGCATAAGAATACTCATCACAGGTCCACGTGACCATGGGCTAGCTGGGGTCGGAGGTCAGTCCTGGGGTTAGTGCCTCTGAGTTGAGAGAGAAGCTGTGCTGTGTGCCCCACTGGCACCTTGAGGCCTCTGAGAGGGGCAGAGAAGTGAAGGGGCTTCTGGTGAGGAGAAGCTGGGGACACAGGGTACCAACAGGGACCACCCGGAAGAGAGGGAGTGTGGTGCTGCCTGTTGGGGGGCTGGGGCTTGACCCCTGATTCTGTCTGGTCTCTTGGATTCCAGCTAAGGGGCTTTTGGAAGGAGGCAGGAGAGAGCTGGACTGAGCCAGTGGGTAGAGCTGGGGCCTCCTTATCCTGCCCAGCCCCCTGAGAGGCTCCTGTGTCTTCCACATTTGGCTCCAATCCCCACTGGCCCGTCTTGCTTCTCACCGCCCTCAGCTCCATCCACATCCACACTGACACACAGAAGGGATAAGCCACACACCAGAGGCACCAGGGATGGTTTATTGTAAGAACTGTACAAAGGAGCCCGCCTGCTAGCCTGGTGTGGGACCTGTTCCCCCCAGACCAGGCAGGAATGGGCATCATCTGCAGGGGAGGGGCCACAGGCAGGGAAGGGCTGGACCTTGCTCATCTACTTTTCCTCTGCAGCCTGCACACAGTCCACAGAGAATACCCAGCCAAACACTTCTGAGGCTCCAGGGCCCAGGAGGGCAAGGCAGAGGGGTAGGGTGCTGGGCAGGGGAGGCTGCCCCCATTAGACAAAGCTGAAGGAAGAGATGGAAGGAGTGGAGGCCTCCTTCCATAGAGGAGACACAGGCAGGAGGCAGGGAGCAGGGCTCAGGCCGTGAGAAATGGAGGGAAGGAGAGGAGCTCACTGGGAGTGAGGGACGGGGCTGTGCAGGCAGTGCTGGGAGCAGGCGAGTCAGCACAGTGGACCACAAAGATGACTCTGGCCCGTAGGCATGTCAGGCAGATGTGCACACACAGAGCACACATACATGTCTTGAAGGTTTTGCTGCTTCCTGAATTTTAATAAAACTCTTCATGAGAAACAAGAAGAAAAAGAAGAGGAATTTAGGCCAACAGGATGCCCTGAGTACATCTTGCCACGTGTGTTCACACTCATCCACACACTCACAGCACAGTTCACCCTCCCAGACATGGGAACATGCCCATGGACAGCCCTGCACAGCACGACACAGCAGCCATACTCCATGGACCTTGAAACACTCCAGGGCACACTGACACACATATACACAAAGATACCCAGACACATGTGCATAATGCAGGCACCAGTACACAGTGGTTCACACATACACATACAGTCACACACTTGAACACGCACAGGCCTACAAACATACAAGCAGACACACAGCCACAGGGACACACACAAGTGAATAAACCCAGTGATGCCTGAACGGGTCTTTCACCCCTCCTCCTCCAGGCACAGCCTCTGTTCTCCAGGAGCCTGCAGAGGCCTGGCCCTGCCATGCCCAGAACGGCGGTGCAGCAGAGGTGCCCATTTCCAGCCACAGGAGGTTGGAAGGTTGAGCCTGAGCCAGTCGGGCCTTCCCTGCTGCATGTCCCAGGGTTGAAATCTCTAACCTGAGCTCAACTGAATATTATTAGGATCACTTTGAGGAGAGAGGTGGGAAGGATGAGGGGAGAGAGCGATGGGCGTGGGAGATGAGAAGGAAGATCTCTGAGGCTGGAGGAGGACCCTGGAGCCCTGGCGGTGCTCACGGAGGAATGAGGCAGGGAGAGTGGGAAAGGGCGAGAATCTTCTTACTGAGCAGCAGGTCCCCGCCCCCCGGCTCAGGTCTGGATGCTCAGGCCATGTGCGGTGATCCAGCTGGCAGGACCCAGCCTGTTCAACCCACCTGTGCTTCCTAGAAAAGGACAATTCCCAAATGACATCCTTCCTTCTGCTCTTCCCCTAGGGGCCAGCCAGGGGAGCTACGGACCTGGACATGGCCTGGGAAAAGGTTTTCAGAGTCACCATCTCAGCCTGAAGCAGCAGGATCCAGTGGCCAATCAGGTTTTGAGGCTTTGAGGCGCTATTTCTGAACCAGTCACATTTCCCTTTTCCAGGAAATTCCTGAGCCGGCCTGGTGGGCGAAGCTGCACCCCAGAGTCAGAGAGGGTGGGCTAGTAGTGCCTGGGGTCAGGTGTCTGCACTCCCTGAGGTTAAGACGTCTTTGGGCTGGAGCTGAGGGGTCTGAGCCACTTCCTGGGGAGAGGCCAGTGACCCTTAAGACTGGTGATGGGGGGAAACTGATCCCTCCACCGTAGGCCAGCTCCTTCCCAAGTGAGGGGCAGAGATTTGAATGTTCTGACCTCCCCCAGGCCAAAAGGAGGGGTGACCAGGCCCAGGAGGAGGTCAGAGCAACTTGAAGATTAATTCATGGAGGCAGGGGCCTCAGGCCCAGCATGGAGCCCCTGAGTGCAATTCCCATTTCCCACGGTCTGGGGAAACAGGTGCTTGGGCCTGGGTGTCAGCCCCAGTGTGGCCAAATCCTGTCCCCCAGGAGGGAGCCAGACACAGTCCCAGATTCAAAGCCCTGCTCCCTCACTCTGTGTGCAGGCACCATGGGGGAGCTTTGGGGACTGTGCCGAGAATCAGTGGGCCACCCCGACGCTGCCTGCTAGACGAGAGACTCCTTGACCCCCGGGCGTACCGTCTGCCCTGGCAGAGGGGCGGGAGGCCAGGCAGTGTCTGAGGGGCTGATGGGGGTCAGCCCCATGGGGGGTCCGGCATCCCCTGCCTTGCCCTTCTCCTCTGGGCTCTGTGAGCTGCTGTTCCTGTTCTCGTGACCATACATCTTGCCCATGGTGTTGGCCAGCAGCCCCTCCTTCTCAGGGGCATCGTCCCCGCTGCCGTCGTGGCTGTGGCGGTACATGTAGGATGCCTGCTTCACGGAGCGCTGGAGCAGGTGCCGGCGGTAGGCCCTCTGGATCTTGATGGCACACACCTCCTCGTGCTTCCTCTTGAGGGTGGTGGTGATGGGCTCGTAGGATACCTTGGAGGGGTTGGCTGCCATGAACTTCTCCTCCATGGTCTGCTTGAGGGCATCCATTTCCCCAGAGTCACCCAGGACCTCTTTGGTCAGGGCGAAGAGGATGTCCAGGCAGTGGATCTTGTCCCCCGGCACCATGGGCAGGTCCAGCGTGATGAGCTTGATCTTGTTGGGCTTGGCGATCCGCAGCGGCTCCTGCAAGGTGTCCACAAAGTCTGAGAGGCGGCTATAGGCAATGAACTGGGTGGCGTCAGGGTCGAACTTCTCCCACGTCTCATAGAACATCTCAAAGTCATCCTCACCAAGGGGCTCGCTGCTCTCCTCTGTGGCCACGTTGAAGTTTTCCAGGATGATGGCGATGTACATGTTGACCACAATGAGGAAGGAGATGATGATGTAGCTGCAGAAGAAGCAGATACCGATGGAAGGGTTGCCACAGTCACCCTTGACGCTGGTGCCTGGGTTCTCCAGGCTGGGGTCGCAGTCCGGGGGCCCGCTATTGAGGATGGGGTTGAGGAGCCCGTCCCAGCCAGCTGACGTGGTGATCTCGAACAGGCAGATGATGCTGTTGCCGAAGGTCTCAAAGTTGAACATGTCGTCAATGCCTGACTCCTTCTTGACGTAGGCGAAGTTGGACATGCCGAAGATGGAGTAGATGAACATGACCAGGAAGAGGAGGAGGCCGATGTTGAAGAGGGCAGGCAGTGACATCATGAGGGCGAACAGCAGCGTCCGGATGCCCTTGGCCCCGCGGATCAGCCGCAGGACACGCCCGATCCGCGCCAGGCGGATCACACGGAACAGCGTGGGTGACACGAAGTATTTCTGGATCAGGTCGGAGAGTGCCAGGCCTATGGAGAGGAGCTAGTGAGGATGCCACCTTCGGGGTGCGGGGCTGGCACAGGGTGTTGGGGGCTGGTACAGGGTGTGGGGGCAGGTGGGGCTCGGGGGCCTGGCCTGGTGCACTCTGCTCAAGTCTCAGAGCACAGCCCAGATGACTGACAGGTAATGCTGGGTTCTCCCAGGGGTCTTGGGGCCAGGGGCTGCAGCTTTGCCCTGATGGAACTGGAGGTGGGATACGATGAAGCAGGGGAGGGTAAGGCCCATTTTCAATGCTCTTTGCAAATGTTATTGGTGTGTGTGTGTGTGTGTGTGCGTGCGCGCGTGTGTGTATATGTGTGTGTGTGTGTGATATATATATATATATATATATATATATATCCAGAGAGAGAGAGAGAGAGAGAGAGAGGACAGCTGTGTGACTCTGGGCATACCCTTTCACTTGTTTGTGCCTCAATTTCCTTACCTGTTAAATGGGAACAAGAGTTCCTGCACATGATGTTGTTATGAGCAAGGGGTGAGATGATGCCTGTCAAGCACACAGCACAGCTGATAATAAATGGCAGCTGGTTACTTTCATAACCGCGTGACTGTGCACTTCTCAGTGCACACAGACACTGGAACCATCTTTTACACTTTTCGCTCAGGACGTGGGCACCTCAGCGTGCGTCTTCTGGTCAGCCGTGTGTCCTGAGGGGCACCCATGTGTGCGCAGGTGACAACCTGCCTGTGGGCGAGCCCATGTGCCTTTGTGTGTTGAGAGTGAGTGGCAGGCACACACAGGTGTGTGTCTAGGTGAGCGTGTGGGAGCTCAGGGGCAGGTGTGTGCACCAGGATGGGTCTTCCCGAGGGCCTCATCTCAGGGCTGCCCTGCCAGCCAGGCCCTCCCCGCTCACCCACGATGGACAAGATGACGACCACGAAGTCGAAGATGTTCCAGCCAACGGTGAAGTAGTACTGGCGCAGGGCCAGCATCTTGAGCACGCACTCCCCTGTGAAGATGATGATGAAGATCATGTTGATGTTGTACAGGATGTCCACCTTGAGCTGGCTCTGGTCATCTGTCTCCACCATCATGGTGACCATGTTGAGGCAGATGAGGATCATGATGGTGATGTCGAAGACCTGCTTTGTCACGAGGTCATACACCATGCCCTGGATCTTGTTCTGCAGCGTGGGCGGGAAGGGACAGACACGGGGGAGTCGGTGGCCAGGCCCAGGCAGGGTGTGAACAGGCAGGAGACACAGGCAGGATGGCACACAGCATAGTGGGGGTGGGGGGGGAGAGATGAGAGAGAGAGAGAGAGAGAGAGAGAGAGAGAGAGAGAGAGAGAGAGAGAGAGAGAGAGGGAGAGAGAGAGAGAGAGAGGAGGGCTTGTGGTGGAGTCAGCCAGGGGAGGAAGGGTGACCCATCAGATCATGACAGGTCTGGGACCAGGTCATTTTATGGAGTTCATGGTCCTCCCTTCTCTACCGGGAACCCTTTTTCCCTTCTAGGTCCCTAGATGCTCCTCCCCTTTCTCCCCAAGTCATTGCTCCTGGGGAGGGTATCTGGATATCCTCTTCTTACTCGCCTTGTGGGGGCCCTTGCCCCAGAGGCCACTGAGGTCCCAGGTGGGAGGTAGATGGGCACTGAGGGGCTGTGCAGGGCCAGATGAGGGTGAAGCAGCCACTGGAGTTTTGTGGATAGCCTCTGTGCACACGGTGTCTCTGTGGCACTATAAAGAGGCATCCCTCCCTACAGGTAGACCTGCCCCTGGGGTGGACCCAACCTCACCCAGGGACACAGCCTGGTGTGTGGAGGGCAGGCAACCTTTTACCCCTATCTGTCCCCCAGGCAGGAGCCTGGTACTGCACACAGGACCGGGGACCCAGAAGGGTGGTACCTGGGGCCGGGGAATTGGCTTCTGAGGCTTCTTGGAGCCGAGCTTCTTCATGGCATTATAGTATTTCTTCTGTTCCTCTGTCATAAAGATGTCTTTCCCTCCAAAGTATAATGAGATAGGGCTTGTTAGGTTGGGATGGGGTCCCTCTTCCTGCCTCCAGGACTCCCCTACTCAGGCACCACCTTTCAGGCAGCCCCAGCCCCTGTGGATCAGCCTGGAGGAAGGTGGGGATCTGGAAGGGTCAGAGATGGAGGGACAAGGGGAGATGGGGGACCAAGAGGGATTACAGGTCCAGAGAAGGGTGGGAAGGGGAGTGGGGATTAATGCTGTCCTTCAGCTTGTTTCTGGCCACTTTTCATCAATTTCTGGCTGAGACCTAGAGTAACCCACAAGGCAGGTTGTAGCAGCCTCATTTTACAGATAAGGAAACAGGTTCACAGAGACCAAGTCACTTGTTCAAGGTCCCCTGGTGGGACTGGGACCCAAGCTAGCTGCATGAACCAACAGCCTGGTGGGTGCTCAGGCAGCGTTTGTGGGTTTGCATAGGAGAGAGTGAACAGGGATGCAGGAGGGAGGCCCGGTGTGGGGGGGGGGCCTGGGGGGGCTGCGCTGATACTCATCTTCTTCTTCTGTTGGTTGAAGTTGTCAATGATGACGCCGATGAAGAGGTTGAGGGTGAAGAAGGAGCCGAAGATGATGAAGATGACAAAGTAGAGGTACATGTAGAGGTTCACCTCGTACTGCGGCTGCTCCTCCTTCTGCGGGGGCGCAGGGGCGATGGCATGGGTGTGCATACTGGCTTCTCCCTGTCCCCCACGGCCTGGAGGGCAGGACCCATCTACCCCCAGCCTACCAGGACTCACCTCCCGGGAGTCCACAGCTGCATACATGATGTCCATCCAACCCTTGAAGGTGGCCTGGAAAGTGTGGTTGGGGAGTGAGCGGGGCGGGGTGGGGGCTCCTCCCTGCTCTCATCATCCATGAGTTTCCCTCCCCCACCCAACCTGGTCCTCCCCTGCCAGAGGCCACCAGTCTGAGCCCCTCTGGGCATGCATCAAATAAAGACCAGAGACCCAGACACTGCCTGGGAGTCCCACAGCATTGCAAGCAGGGTGGGCGGTCCCCTAACAAGGAGTGACATTGGGCTCAGGTATCACGAGAGGGACTGCGGTGGGAGGGACTGGGGGAGGGGGCACCTCCATCCAGGTTCCTGGCTGGGGCAGTGGGTCACACTCACCACCTGCAAGAGGGAGAGGTAGCCCAGACCCACGTTGTCATAATTGACCTTGACGTTGAGCCAGCGGACCTGGCCCGTGTGCATGAGGCTCTCGCACTCAGACTTGTTGTTGACCTCGGAGATGTCAAACCTCTCGGAGGTAGTGGTGTTGATGCAGTAGTAGAACTTGCCAGCAAACAGGTTGACGCCCATGATACTGAAGATCAGCCAGAAGATGAGGCAGACGAGCAGCACGTTCATGATGGAGGGGATGGCACCCAGGAGGGCGTTCACTACCACCTGGTGGCCGTGGGGATGGTTCATTGCCAGTGCCTCTCACAGCCTCTGAGAGAGGGCTCCCCATCTCCATGCCACCCAGGGGACCAGGCAGAGCTGGGCATTGTCAATCAGGGAGGGCTTCCTAGAGGAGGGCCAATCTGCTGGGCTGTATGTGTGCAGGTGGGGGGCAGTGAGGGGGTGGGGTAGGGAGCGGCAGGCCTGGTGCTCAGGAGGGCTCTCTGCTTGGCTGGAGCCATCAGTCCGGAGTGGGGGTGCTGGGTTTCTCTGGAAGCAGCCCAGTCACGGGTCACCAGGCAGGAGACAAACACTCTTTGCTCAGCCCCCATAGGAAACTCAGCCCACGTGACCCAGCCCCTGCTCATGGGTTCTCAGCCCCAGAGACCCAGACACAGGCACAGAAAAGAGGGCAGCAGGGTCTCTGCAGCAGCAGGAACCCTGGGACTGAAGCCTTGCCCCCACCAGCCCTAGTCACACAGCCCACCCAACCACTGCACACTGGGCTGGATCTGAGACCCTGCTCTTTTTAAGGAGGAGCCGTTTCATGACCTCCACAGAGGGTGGCACAGCCTGGTGGTACCCAGGGGAGCTCTATTCCTGGCTGGGGCACCGACCAGCTGTGTGGCCACAGGCAGCTTGTTTCCCCTCAGTGGGAGGGTTCACTGGCTCTGGGGTCAGAGGGCCCAGCATTCAGCTGGCCCCTGGCAGGGACAGGAGGGGGCTGCTTGGGTGGGCTCGCCATGGCCTGTGGATTTGCAGACATCTGTCCCGCTGGAGCAGGTCTTGCTCCCGGCAGGCCTCCCTTCCCGGAGAAGTCCTATTTTTCTTGCCCCAACCCTGTGTTTACCTGCCACTTCCGCTTTCCAGGGCCTGAATGGATCTTCCCCAAAGTCACCCCAAGCTCAAGGGCATGGCCCCGACCAAGACGCCAAGCTCATCGGTGGGGGATGAGGGGGAGACTCAGAGCCAGGGTGCAGGTACCTTGTTTCAGAGCCCTGGGTGGCTCAGTCTGAGGCTGGGAGAGCCACCCATAAACCCACTTGTAAACCACCCATAAACACCACATAAACCTGCCTTCCTTCTTCCTCTTCCCTGGCTGTGGGGCCCTCCTGGGAGCTTCTGCAGACTCTGCTGCCCCCAAGTAGTGGCAGAGGTAAGCTAAGGGTGGGCTGGATCGAGGGCTGAGGGCGGGAATGGGGCAGACAGAAGATGGGCTGCGGGGAGGACAGCTGGGGAGGTGGGGGCCAGACCTGGCCTCAGGCAGGGCTGAGGATCTAAGCTCTCTGCCTCCCCCTGGTGGTGGCTGGAGTATAGACATGCACCCTCCACCCCGCCCTGAGAGTGACCCGACCCCAAATCCCCAGCCCACCCCAGAGGCCCCTTCAGCACCCACCCTCATGCCCTCGAATCGGGACAGTGCTCTCAGGGGACGCAGAGCCCGAAGGGTCCGCAGGGATTTGATGGGTCCCAGCTCCGAATAGCCCAGCCAGTTGGCCACCAGGCTGATAATGGAGACCTGCAGGGGAGGGGTGGGGGGGTCAGTACGTGCAAGGCCCCAGCCTTCCCCCAAGCCCAGGCAACGGGGTCTTCCTGGACTCACAGCTCCTGGCTGTCTCCCATAGATCCTCTCCCTAGTGGGTGGTCCTGTCTGTTGGGAAGAGCTGCCCTGGGACCTGTCCCAGCACCTGTAGGAGCCCAGGTGCCACCTCAGTGATGTCATCAACTAACTGGGGATGGCCATGAGTGGGAGGGATGGTATCTGACTCCCTTGAGAGGCCCATGAGCCCATCTAAGAGGGTAAGAAAATCCTCCACTCGCCAGGTGTGGTGGCTCACACCTGTAATCCCAACGCTTGTGGGAGGCTGTGACGGATGGATCACCTGAGGTCAGGAGTTCCAGATCAGCCTGGCTAATATGGCGAAACCCTGTCTCTACTTAAAAACAACACAAAACAAAACAAAAATTAGCGGGGCGTGGTGGTGGGAACCTGTAATCCCAGCTACTTGGGAGGCTGAGGCAGGAGAATCGCTTGAACCCAGGAGGTGGAGATTGCAGTGAGGGGTGATATTGCCACTGTACTTCAGTCTGGGTGACAGAGCAAGATTCCATCTCCAAAAAAAAAAAAAAAAAAAGAAAATCCTCCACTCCTGACCAGGCGTGGTGGCTCACACCTGTAGTCCTAGCACTTTGGGAGGCCGAGGTGGGAGGAGGATTGCTTGAGCCCAGGAGTTCAAGACCAGCCTGGACAATAATCTTAAAAATAAATAAATAAAATGTATAAAGCAAGAAACTCCTCCACTCCTATTGGCAGTGATGGTCAGTAGCCCTCCTGCCTGCTGTCCTCCTGGTCCTTATTCCCCTCCTGGACAGCTGTGTCTGAGAAGGGCAGCGCCGATCAAGGGTCTGCCTCAGGCAGGTCCTGCCGCTCAGGGCCTGGGATTCTTGAGGTCCTTGCCACATTGACAGCCTCTGGATGTGGCTACAGGGCCGATGTGGCAGGGACTCACGTCCACGATGAGGAAGTCGAGCCAGCACCAGGCATTGGTGAAGTACACCTTGAAGCCGTAGGCCACCCATTTGAGCAGCATCTCCATGATGAAGACGTAGGTGAAGACTTTGTCGGCGTATTCGAGGATGGTGCGGATGACTCGCCGCTGCTCGATGTAGATGTCCTCGAAGGCCTGGGGGCACCAGCACCACCAGGGTGGCCGGGGGTCCAGCAGGCTGGGGCGGCAGCCACATCCCCTGCCCTGCTTGATGCTGCTGGTTCCCGGGGGTCTACCATGGGGGCCAGCCCAGGGGACAGGCTGTCCACATCTCCTGGACTCCCACCATCCATCACGGGGATGAGCGCATTTCTTGGTGGGGAGAGGTCCCTCAGCCCTCCTTCCCCAAGCCCAACAACAGCAAATTACAATCATCTGCTGGGTCCACAGCGACAAACCTTCAGTCCTGAGCCCCACATGCACCCCTACTTCCCAGGGCCCTCCTGCCTCCCCATCGGCAGGGCGTGCACAAAAGTCAGCGCCCATGGAACAAGGGAGGCACCTCTGCCATGTTGAGTCAGCACATTCTATAACATATCCCGGAAGCACAGTGAGTTCCTTTAGGGTTCTCAGGGTTTGGGACTGACCAGGGCATGGCCCTTCCTGTGTGTGGAGACAGGGAGCCCCCAGAAGGCCTGCTGCGGGCCTGGCCCCTGCCCCTGCCCCATGCTCCCAGGTGGTGCCTACCAGAGCTCCGCTGCTGAGCAGGATCATGAAAACAATGAAGGTCTCGAACCAATTGTGCTCGACAATCTTGAAGCAGGCCCTGCGAAGAGTCCACCACTTCTTCCCTCGGCCCTGGGAGATGTCCACGTAGAGGCAGGGCCAGCGCTGCACGCAGGCTGATGGGGGCAGGGACAGGCACCACATCACGGGCCTGGGGCTGCCTTGGGGTGCACAGTCAGCACCCTCCCGCGGCGTCCCAGGATGCCCTTCTCCAGGACCCCCACCTCCTCCCTCACCCAGCTCTATCTGGCTCTCATGCGGGGCTCAGGGCCTCCCTTCACAGCCCCATCCACCATGCGACAACTGCTGCTGGAGGTGGGCATGCAGAGGAAAGGCGTCCTGGCCCCCCCGCGGTGCTGCTGCTCTTAGCCACCCCACCCCACCCCCCACCTTTCCCAGGCCATCTCCATCCTACGCAGCCCAGCAGGCTGTATGGACAAGGACATTTCTCCAGGGCTGTGTCCTGAAGGCCTCACTCCCTGAAGATGGAGGGGAGGACAAGGAGGAGGAGGATCTAGGCAGCTGACACCTGCTCTCCTGCACGTTCGCTCCAAGCCAGGCCCACACCAAGGGCTCTGCATGGATGTGCCACAGCTCTGAGCGCACACGGCCACCAGCCCTAGGCTTGCAAGGCATGGAGGCCAGCCGGGCAGCCCCTGGTTCGTGTGCTTCTAGCCCTGGTGTAGCCTGCCCTTTGCAGGGGTGCAGGCCTGGGAGAGACACCCAGGTGAGGTGGGGGGTGCTCTCACCCTCGGTGAAGCACTCCTCAGGCTGCTCCTCGGGGTTCTCCTCTGCCTGCTCCTCAGGGTCCTCCGCTGGGGGCTTGTAGTCAGCCGTGCTGCAGACGGAGGAGTTCCCGTCGTAGAGGGGCTGTGGTGGCTTCTGCAGAGGCCACAGCGTCATGTGACCCCTGGGTCCCTGAGAGACCCTCTCATCCTCCCACCAGATGGGGCAGGATGGGAGACCAGCAGGGAAGGGAAGCAGAGAGGGAGGAGCAAACTCATTCATTCATTCATTCATTCACCCAGCCCTGGATGGTTGAGGAATCATGAATCGTGGAGACATAGGCAGCCCTCGTCATACCCGCACGGCACTTACATGAGGAGTGGGGCAGGACTGATGCCTGGGAAGGGGCAGTGAGGGCATGAGTACACATGCGAAGGCCTCGGATAAGGGAGGAGGCGGGGACCCTGGCTCCAGTGGGGCTGTGGGAGGCATGGGGAGCCTGAAGGTAGCCCTGAGGGGACAGGGGTATGAAAAGGGGTCAGGATGGAGCCAGGCTGTCACAGCGCAGAGCATGGGTATGTGGTGCCCCTAGCGTCTGAGCCTTCCTACACCCAGGGTCTGTTTGGCTGAGGAATCCAGAAAGGGTGGAAAATGTTCCCCAGCCAAAGCCTTCATCCCGCGCCAAGGGAACCTGATCAGCGTTGGGGGCGGGAGTCGGGGAGGCTCAGCCAGGTCTCCTCCCACCTCCTCCTGCTGGGCCAGGCCAGCTTCCCAGCCCCAGCCTCCACCCAGCAGGGGACCCCTTCAAGGCTGAGGGTGAGGCCCCGAAAGGAAGGAAGAAGAGGGCAACTAAGGGGGCAGCTCTGTATCCAGAGTGGTGACCAGAAAACCACCACAAATGGGTCCTTGTTTTCAGTTGATAAAAAGGGAAACTGAGGCACAGAATGTTAGGTCAGCCAGGGCAACCACTGAGTTGCCCCAAATGTGCATCAAACTCCCAAAATCACCCTTGAAGCTGGGCTTGCCCTCCTTGAGCAAGTCCCCAGGCCCCAGCCCCGTGGAGCCTGAGATTTTGGTGCTCTCCAGCCCCCACCTCCCTGCCCCGCCCCCCCCACCCGCCACCTGAGTGCCTCATACCGAGGTCTTGCCCGGGTATTTATAGCTCACAGGCACTCAGCCCCTGGTAAGCCAGCATGCCACATATTTGGGGGGAATAAGGAGTCAAAAGCTTTCAGGGCAAAGTTCATTAGGCTCAAGCTGATGGCGCCGGGGTGGGCAGGTGCCCCCATCCTAGCTTCTGTGAGAGTCCTTTCCCTGCCAGAGCTGGAGGTGGGGAAGGGGACTCAAGACCCAGAGAGGGTCTCAGTTCAGGCCCCAGCTGCTGGAGGTGACCACCACTAAGTTCCTGTCCCTTCCTCGCCCTCGAAGTGGAGGGGTGGGGAGGGGCATCTGAACCCAGCAGCAGGCCTCCCACGGCTGAAGGGTCAGGGCTCCTGCCTGAGGCTTCTGCTCTCCTTGTCCCCAACTCCTGTTGACCCCCTGGCTCCTCTCCTGAGTCCCCCGCCTAGATCTGGCACCTTGGCTCACACTGGGAGGTTAGGAGCAGCCCCAGGTGGAGTCCAAACACAGATAGAGGATAAATGTGAGGACTGGGCAAGGGGCTTTAACCCCAGAGGAGAACTAAGAGAGGCCTCTGGGGTCCTGGTCCGGCAGCGGCGGTGCCCACGTAAGAACAGCATGTCCAAGAGCACCACCTGCTGGTGAGAGGGGCCCAGGCAGCGTTCTAGGACAGGCATGAACAGAGGGTTTCAGGACAGGTAGGGCCGATCAGAATAACCACATCAATAACGACAGTGACAGCCGCCACTCACAGGGCGCTGACTGCATGCTTTACATACAGCGTCCCGCATAACGCTTGCAACAATGCCACAGGGCACCACCCCCATTTTACAGCTGGAGAAGCTGGGGCTCAGAGAGGACTCAGAACTTGCTCAAGGTCACAGGAGAATGTGAAGCCGGGTCTGTTTGAGCCCCGGCCCTGGCTCACCTTGCCATCCTCAGGCTCCGAGAAAGTGTCAGTTTCCTCCTCGGTAGGCATCTCCAGGTCAGACTCCTCGGAGGCGATGGGCACCTGGATGGTCAGGTAGGGGTTGTTGATGAAGTTGAGGTGGTCCAGCTCGATGCTGGATGGAGGGCCGTCAGCCAGGCCCATGTGGTTCAGGATGTGATTGTCCTTCTTCAGGTCTTCCTGGGGCGGCTCCTTCTTCTCATCCTCAGGGGCAGTCTCCCCGGCCTCTCCAGCCTCCCCGGCCCCAATAGGCTCCCCGAGGCTGAGCATGATGTCCTTGGGGCTCAGGATCTTGCCATGCAGCAGCCCCAGGAGGAAGGCCTTGGCAAAGCCGATGCCCCACTTGATGCGTCCGATGGCAATCTGCAGGTTATTCATCTCGCCGTCCTCATCCTGGACTGCCAGGCTGTCGGCGCTGAAGGAGCTCAGCAGCAGAGCCAGGAACAAGTTCAGGACCTGGGACATGGGGTCGGGGGGAGCCTCACATCAGTCCCTGGAACCCAGAGGGTGCCACCTTCAGCCAGCACAGGGGTCCTCGGCTACAGATCTGAACTACCACATGTTGGGCATTTAAAAGAACAGCGCCTAAGAGGTGTTCACAACTGCTCATGGAGGTGATGGTTATTATCCCTTCTGCAGCTGGGGAAACTGAGGCTTGGGCTTCTGAGAGGACTCTGCTACCCAGGTCAGAGGCAGGGTTTAGGAAGGCCTGCTGGGGGACAGGGACTCTCTCTATGACTGTCTTTTTTTTTTGTGTGTGTGAGATGGAGTCTCGCTCTGTTGCTCAGTCTCGCTCGAGTGCATCGGCGTGATCTCTACTCACTGCAACCTCCACCTCCAAGTTCCAGTGATCCTACTACCTCAGCCTCCCAAGTAGGTGGGATTACAGGCCTGCACCACCATGCCAAGGTAATCTTTATATTTTTTGTAGAGACAGGGTTTCAACACGTTGCCCAGGCTGGTCTCAAACTCCTGACCTCAGGTGATCTGCCCACCTTGGCCTCCCAAAGTGCTGGGATTGGAGGCATGAGCCACCGCGCCCTGCCCATGACTGTCAAATTATCTCCACTCCCCGAGGATGCAGAACAAAGAACTGGGCTCAAGTCGCCAAGCTTCCAGGACTTACTGGGAACCTTAATCTTTTGTGCCTTCTTTTCTTCCTCTGTTAAGTGGGACTTTAATAGAAAGTGGGACTTTAATAGACCCTGTGCTCCTGGTGTGCAGAAACCTGGCCCCTACTGCTCTGGAAGGGCCATCTGACCTACTATTTACCCTCTTTTCTCCTCTGGGGTTTTCCGACTCCATCTACTCTAGTCCTCATCCCACATTCCTATGGAAAGAGACTTAAGAGGCTACTGCTCTTCCCCCAGCACCCCCACCCATTTTACTTTCCAGTGGACAGACATTTCCTGAGCCCCTGACACTACATGAATGGCCTCAGGGAGCTCACAGCCCAGCAGACACAGAGAGTGGATCAGACACACGCAATACTGTGGGTTTGGGTGGCAGCAGAGACTGGGGTGCACAGCTTTTGAAACTGTATTGCAGAGCTCTGAACCCCAGTTTATTAGCTGTGTGCTCTGAGGCAGTTTGCTTCACTGCGCTGTGCCTCAGTTTCCTCATCTGTAAAATGGAGATGATGCCAATGCTCCTCCCATTGTTGTGAGGATTAAAAGATCAATACAAGACCAGGCACAGTGGCTCATGCCTGTAATCCCAGCACTTTGGGAGGCCAAGGCAGGCGGATCACAAGGTTAGGAGATCGAGACCATCCTGACTAACACAGAGAAACCCCATCTCTACAAAAAATACAAAAAATTAGCCAGGCGTGGTGGCGGATGCCTGTAGTCCCAGCTACTTGGGAGGCTGAGGCAGGAGAATCACTTGAACCAGAGGCAGAGGTTGCAGTGAACTTTGATGGGGCTACTGCACTTCAGCCTGGGTGACAGAGCAAGACTCTGTCTAAAAAAAAAAAAAAAAAATCAGTACAAATAGAGCATGCAATAGGAACTCAACACATGTTGGCTATTAATTATGTTCGAAATAACAGAAAGCTATACAAGGTGCTCCAGCCTGGCTGACATGGTGAAACTCCATCTCTACTAAAGGTACAAAAGTTAGCTGTGCGTGGTGGTATGCACCTATAATCCCAGCTACTTGGGAGGCTGAGGCAAGAGAATCACTTGAACACGGGAGGTGGAGGTTTCAGTGAGCCCAGATCGTGCCACTGCACTCCAGTCTGGGTGACACAGCAAGACTGCCCCCTGCCCTCCCCCAAAAAAAAGAGAAAGGAAGGAAGGAAGGCTGGCTATGCAAGATGTAAGGAAGAGTATGATTAACTCTGAGGCCAGCTCAGCATTTTATAGGTGAGGAAACAGTTCCAGAGAGGTGGCGTGGCTTGCCCTAGGACACATGGCTTAGCCAGAACTAGAACCAGGCTCCCAGTCATTGTACAGCTTTAGAAGGCATCATTCACTTAGACTACAAGGTGAATGGCAGCCCTGAAGGTCTGCAATGTAGTCGCCCTTCCTTCTACCAGTCCACCTGGCCCTGGGCAGTGGGAGGAAGGGGAATCCTGTCTGGGGTGAGGGTCCTGGCTCCTGTCAGCCAGAAGCATAGCCGGGAGTCCTGGGGTAGTGGAGCACGTGGGGGTGGAGAGCCTGCACTTGCGGATCCGCCACCCTTGGCCGTCTCCTCGGTGGGGCTCACTGCTGGCTTTCTCCAGCCTCCTCCAAGGTCTTCTCGTCATTGTCTTTACCACATTCTGTTGATTATATTCTGTTAATCATGTTCATATACTCTCTTTACAAAATATCTTAAAGCCCTGTTTGAGAGAACGTGCTGGGAGAATTTCCGCGGCTCCCCTCCTCCCGCTACGTCCCTTGGCAGCTTTGCTGCCTTTGCCCCCAACCAAAACACATTAGTCTTCCTTCTCCCTCTCTTGGGGGGAGGCATCCAGTTGCCAGAAACACATCTGAGATGGGAATTAGCTGCTCTCTGGGTCAGCAGGGTTTGCACACGGCTCCTGCCCAAGACAGAAATAGCCGCCCTAGGCAGGGGGAGGGCAGGGAGGGGAGGGGGCCGACATCAATTTCCCTGGGGGTTCTGTGCTTTGGGTTACTGGTGACCTAGTCACTTCCTCTTCTTCTTCACAGTTACCCACAGGAAGTGACCAAGTGCCATGGGCGCAGGGGACGCGGGTCTTCACACTCTCTGGCAGGGTGCCCTGGTGGCCTCTGGCAGACGCCTGCTTCTCTGAAGCCTGGGGAGGTGGTGGGAGGGGCAGTGCCCAAGGAGCTGACAGTGCTGCCTCCCTGGGCTGCTCCACTCCGTCTGAGCAAACTGGGAGAGCCACAGAGCTGGGCTGGGAAAGGATGTGGTATGTGTGTGCACGTGTCTGTGTGATGGGGGTGACAGGTACATGGAGGCAGGACCTGCGCTGGTTCCAGATTCTGCAGCCAGACCACAGGGATTCCCATCCCGCACATGGGACAGATTCACCTCCCTGAGCCTCTGCTTCCTCATCTATAAAACAGATGAACCGGCGAACCCTCACAGGTGAGTGTGAGGAGGAGGTGAAATGAATACACACAAAGCACCCAGAATGCTAGGTAAATGCTAAATAAATGTCAGCTGTCAGCATCCTTCTGCTGGTGCTGACATTATCGTTATTACGATACTCTTATCATTGATGTTAGTGTTACTGGAGTTGTACGGACCCAGTTCCAGTACCAGCTGTTTCTCACTAGTTGTGCGGTTCTGGACAGGCCTCCCCGAGAGCGTGGAAATAACATTACCTGTCTCATGGGTGGCTGAGAGGATTAGGGACCATGACCGTATAGCCCTTTGTGCTGGGACTGACACACAGTAGGGGCCCCACTGCCAGTACAGGAGCGTCACCCTGGTGGTGGGAACCTAAACCAGCACTGCCCCGCCTCATGCCTGCAACACTTGCAACCCCAGCCACGTGGTCAGGCACTTTGGTAAGCACTTGTAAGCGCATGCATCATATAATCCTCTCGACCACCCAGTGGGAGAGTCATCCTCACTATCATCCCCATTTTCCAGATGGGAAAAATGAGGCCCAAAGGGGTTAAATAATGGGTTCAAGGTTTTCCAGTCAGTGAGTGGCAAAGTGGGGTCTTGGAACATTTTTGAGTTTCTGCAGAGAGACAGCAACCCCCTGCAGACTCAGTCACTCCCAAATCCTTAGACTTACATCCACAAACTCCTACTCAGGGTCTGCTGTCCCCATCCCCAATCTTGCCCTAAAGTTAGGCCTGCGCACCTTCCCTCTCTCTCCCCACTCCCCAAGATCCTCCTTTCAGGCCCGGGTTCTCCTCTGTAGCTGCAGCGCAGTCTTATCTAGCAGCCAAGGTGATACCATTTCCCGCTCTGGGTGCTGCCCCCAGCCGGAGACCAGTGATATCTGAGAAGCGCTGTGCCCGCAGCTCAGGGATTCCACAGGCCCTTGGGGAACATGGGGACAGGCATCTTCCTAGTCCCTGTTGCCCAGGGCAGTGCCAGGCACTGTAGGGGGCAGGTGGGCACAGCACTGCAGGGCTCTGGCAGTGGTAACCTCCACTGCCACCCCAAGAAGGGAAGGAGTCAGGGTCACCTCCAGCGGCCCTAGCCACAGAAATGCTGGCCAGCTGGACCACAGCCCTACACCCTGGCTCTCACCTCCTGGCCCCTTCCCCTGCACCAGCCCCACATGCCAAGTCCTGAGCCACGGCAAGCAGCAGAAGAAATACAGTTTATGCCATCTCTGCATTTTCCCAATACCTGCACCTGTTTCTTTTTTTGTTTTCTAGAGATGTGGGTCTCGCTCTGCCCCCCAGGCTGGAGAACAGTGGCAGGATCATAGCTCACTACAGCCTCAAAGACCAGGGCTCAAACAAGCTTCCTGCCTCAGCCTCCCAAGTAGCTGGGTTTGGTGTGTGTCACCATGCCTAGCTACTTTTCCATTTTTCCATTTTTTATAGGTGGGGGGGGCGTCTTGCTATGTTGCCCAGGCTAGTCTTGAACTCCTGACCTTGGCCCCCCAAAGTGCTGGGACTACGGGCACAAGCCACCACAGCCAGCCTGATTCTCTTTTTTCGCAGCCTGGACCATAGGCTCTAGAGCAGAGGAGGTCAAGAGGCTGGGAGAAAGCCAAGAGGCCCAGGTTCCCCCACAACACTGTGTCTTTGGACATACGATGGCATCATCTTTGCAGTAACCCCAGGAGGTCCCTGTTGTTTGTCTTCTATGTGAAGGTTAGAGAATCCAGCCTGACTAGAGAGCAGCAATTAGCTCAAGGTCACACAAACGATGGCAAAGGAGCTGGGACTGGAATGTGCGTCTGTCTGACTCATTATCAGGTTGCTTTACTCAAAACGTTAGGTTCCAACAGCGCTACTCACAGCGTGGTCCCAGAGCCAGCATCAGCAACCACTGATCTGTCAGAAATGCAGATCCCCAGGCCTAGGCCCAAAGCTGCTGAATCAGACACTCTGGAGGTGGCGCCAGGATCTGTGGTTTAAGTAACTCCTAGGTGATTCTTACACAGTTTAAAATTTGAGAACTACTGGGTTCAACCACGTAAAATTGCCATTTTGGAGAGGATGTGCTGGGGAGATAGAAAACAGTCAAACATGCTGGGCGCAGGGGCTCGCACCTGTAATCCCAGCACTTTGGGAGGCCAAGGTGGGTGTATCACCTGAGGTCGGGAGTTCGAGACCAGCCTGACCAACATGGAGAAACCCCATCTCTACTAAAAATATAAAATTAGCCAGGCATGGTGGTGCATGCCTATAATCCCAGCTACTTGAGAGGCTGAGGCAGGAGAATCACTTGAACCCGGGAGGTGGAGGTTGCGGTGAGCTGAGATCGCACCATTGCACTCCAGCCTGGGCCACAAGAGTGAAACTCTATCTCA